GCGAGGGCAGGGGCGGAGAGGACAAGGACGGAAATCGCTCACTTTGGTGATGAGGGTCCTTGATGGTGAAAGGCTGGTGTCTTTAGCTTAGCAAAGGCATCTCCTTGCTCAGTGGGTTACGTGAAGATGTGTTTTCAAAGCGCAGTGCGAGTAGGTAGATGAAGAGGAAGCGGACGCGGTGTGTATGACTCTTGAGAGCTTTAGTAATGAAGGGAAGCAGAGAAATGGTGCAGTAACTTGAAAGCATGGTGAAGCTGAGGGAGAAGAACGTTAGGATGGAGAAGGCGTGCGTGTGTTTGCAGTCAGAGGGTCAGAGATGAAGCGAGAGGAGGCCCAGAAACTCCCGTAGCCCCAGAAGGCAGGACCAGCATCTGTGTTGGCCTGGTGAAGTAAGGAGGAAGGGGCAAAGCTAGACATGTCATGTCCAATGGCTTGGAAGAGAGTGGTCAGCAAGGGGAGAGGGTTCAGGAGAGGAGCTGTGGAAGGGGATGGGACGAAGCGCAGTTGAGTGCCGGCTGTCTTCAGTAGGGAGGGTGCTTGTTCCGCATGACTTCATAGTGAAGTCCGTTGTCTTATTTTTATGGTCTTCCCAGCCACAAACAAGATTGATGGCCAAGATTGAGGAGTGGAAAAGAGGAGATGGATGGATGGGCTTCCACAGGTAGATGGGGCTGAACAAGGGCAGGTAGGAGGGAACTCTGGAGAAAGGAGGACTCCGGACTGGGAGCAGAGGAAACCTGGAAAGAAAGTCACTCTTAGGAGGCCTGGGTGGGCTTCAGAGGATCCGGGAACTACCCAGAATCACATGCAGGGTTTTGTGTGTGTGTGTCCTTTCATCTGATTCCGAAGTTGTCACAACCCCAAAGCAGCTACCCTAGAAATCATGCTGAGAAACAGTGAGCAGTTTCATTAGGAATGAGGGAACGAGAGAGAGAGAGAGAGTTGGCAGTCAGAGTGTCCACTTTGATCTCTTCCCAACAAGTGATAAATCTTAGGTAAAACTTTAAGCAGACATTTCTTTTAAAAATGTTAGTGCGTGTGTGCCTCCTAGTTGACCTGAAAGTAGATGGATTGGCATATGAAACTGCCCTGCGTGCGGATCGTGGAGAATAGTGGCAGGGTCTGTTTAACTTAATCAGACGAATAGAGTCTATCCCCGAGATCTTAAGGATTTCTGAACATGAAGGCAACCGCCCTTCTTTCGCAGACAGCACCGAGTTATTGGATTAAAAAGAAATGGTGCAGTAGCAGGATTAAAGTGACAAAGTAGTGTGCCCATGGTTGAGGCCGGCCGCTGTCTGCTTTGCCACAGCCAACCACGTCCACTTCAGTGGCTCACTCTGCTTCTCCTTCTCGGTTGTTGCTGGGTTTTCTTCAGCCAAGGCTGCTGGTTTTCTGTTAATATGACCACACACAGGCCTGTGCTCTGGATTCAGCGGCACCAGAGCAGGCTGCCCAGCTTGTTCTTAGCAGCCCCAGCCATGGTTCAGGGGACAACTGCAGCTGGACCCTCCACGGTGCCCACGGTGGCCCCTTGATGGCATTCCCAACGGGAGTGTCGAGATTGGTGGGTCCACACCCTGGGTCCTGGCACAAGAAGGGAAAGAACAGACCAGATTAAGTGGCCTTCTCACATGCTTGCTGCTCAGCCGTGGACAGTGTGAGCAGAAACGCAGGACAGAACGACCTGCTCTGACGGAGGAGTCCGAGGTGATCTCTGCTCTCTCCTCCAGGCCCGGGCAGCTGGGGCCTGGTTATCACTGTGTCTGAGCCAGTCTGCCCTGGTTTTCCCCTGGTAGGGCTGAACGACTGAGTGCTGGCAGGAAGCGTGCAGTGTGCTGCTGCTGGGCAAGCGAGCAGCACACGCTCCTTGGAGACCTTTTTCTGTGTGAACTTATTTGTTTTCCAGATTGGCCAGTTCTGGCTTTACTAACGCCATGAGTGCTTTCTGCTAATAACGACCGTTCTTTGTCTTCACGTTTCAGCCGGCCGCACCTGGGCAGCGTCCCGGACTTCAGGTTCCCCGTGGCCGACAGTCACACAGATGCCTACAGCAGCAACTCAGTGTTGCGGCGCCCCCAGAAAGGCCGCCTGGCAGCTCTGCAGGACGAGCCTTCCAAGGCAAGCACCCTGCGCCTCAGGGGCGCCCATCTGAAGCGCCTCTGGTCACACAGACCTTATGTGTGGACCGTGTGATTCTACCCTAACTCCCAACACTTCTCTTTATCTGCCCAAGAGTTCCTTTTTAGGACATGCTTTAAAAAAAAAAAAAAAAAAAAAAAAGAACAGAAATTCTGGTAAAATATGATGACCTCCTTTCAACCACGGTGCTGACTAGGAAGGTCTTAAAGTAGTAATAAAAAAAAAAACCAAAACTGAATTTGGTGCCGTTGAGTCAATTCCGACTCACAGTGACCCTATAGGACAGAGTAGAACTGCCCCATAACGTTTCCAAGGAGTGGCTAGTGGATTCGAGCTGCCGACCTTTTGGTTAGCAGTCGAACTCTTAACCAGTGTGCCCCCAGGGCTCCAAACTAGTAATACCTGTACGTTAATACATGTATTCATCATCTTTTATTTTCCCCCATTATATTTTATTGTGCTTTCGGTGAAAGCTTACACAGCAAATTACACAGCAGTTTTTACTCGAGTTGTTCAGTGAAGTCAGTTACATTTTTCATAATATGTCACCATTCTCACTGTTCTGGTTGTTGTGTTTCCAGTGCTCTGGTTTACGTGCCCCTTATCTGCTCATCTTTGCTTTAGATTTTGTTAGGTGCCACTGAGTCAGTTCCGACTCATAGTGACCGTATGCACGACAGAACGAAGCACCACCCGCTCCTGTGCCATCCTCACAGTCGTTGTTATGCTTGAGCCCTTTGTTGCAGCCACTGTGTCAGTCCATCTCATTGAGGGTCTTCCTCTTTTTGCTGACCCTCTGCTTTACCAAGCATGATGTCCTTCTCCAGGGACTGGTCCCTCCTGACAACATGTCCAGAGTATGTGAGACAGTCTCGCCATCCTTGCTTCTAAGGGGCATTCTGGTCGTACTTCTTCCAAGACAGATTTGTTCGTTCTCTTGGCAGTCCACGGTCTATTCAGTATTTTTCTCCAGCATGGCAATTCAAAGGTGTCAGTTCTTCTTCAGCTTTCCTTGTTCATCGTCCAGTGCACTCATGCATGTGAGGCGATTGAAAACACCGTGGCTTGGGTCAGGCGTGCTTTTGTCTTCCAGGTGACGTCTTTGCTTTCGAACACTTTAAAGAGGTCTTTGGCAGCAGATTTGCCCAATGCAGTGGTCTTTTGATTTCTTGACTGCTGTTTCCATGGGCGTTGATGGTGGTTCCAGGTAAAATGAAATCCTTCCTTGACAACTTCAATCTTTTTTTCCATTTATCATGATGTTGCTCATTGGTCTAGTTGTGAGGATTTTTGTTTTCTTCATGTTCGGGTGTAATCCATACGGAAGGCTCTGGTCTTTGATCTTCATGAGTACGTGCTTCATGCCCTCTTCACTTTCAGCAAGCAAGTTTGTGTCATCTGCGTAATGCAGGTTGTTAATGAGTCTTCCTCCATCTTTTAGTGAAAAGAATTCACATTAGAAAGTTTTAACTGCATTCGTGTTTTTATGTGTTGAACAGCGTAGATTTTTATGTACTTCTCTATTTTGAGCACGCATATTGACTGGACAAGGAGTGTAGGTCGGGTACCATTCTGGGCTTAGGGACACAGCAGTGAGAGCGGACACTTCCTGCACCCCCAGAGCCCACGTTCTAGTGAGGGGAGATAAGCAGCAAAGGAGTAAAGTAAAACTCAGTATGTGTGTGTTAGTTACCTATTGCTACATAGCAAATGATTGCAAAGCTTGGTGGCTTCAAACTACTAGTAAACGCTTATTAGTTCACTGTTTCTGTGCATTCAGGAGCGGCTTGGCTGGAGGATTCTGACGCAGGGTTTTGTGAGGCTGCGGCATCTGAAGGCGTGACTGGGGCCGGAGTATCTGCTGCCCAGCTCACTCACGTGGCTGTTGGTGGGAGGCTTCAGTTCCTCACCACGTGGACTTCTCCACGGGGCTGCTTGAGCGTGCCCCCAACATGGCTGCTCGCTTCCGTCAGAACTCACACTCTGAGAGAGCATGGGGGTAGCCCCAGTGCCTGTGATATCCTAGTCTTGAAAGTCACACACCTTCACGGCCACTTTATTCTTTTCTAATCTTGCCCACACTCAAGGGGAGGGCAAGTATCCTCCATGCCTCGAAGGGAGGCATGTGAAAGGATGTATGAGCATATTTTTGAACCACCACAGTGTATCAGATGGTAATAAGCAGGGCAGGGGACTCAGGAGTACCTGAGTGGTAGCGTGAAAAGAGGAATAGTAATTTCAAACAGGGACCCAGGGAGACCTTACCATGAGTGGCATGTTTTGAGCATGACCTGAAGGAGGAAAGGGGAGTAGCCGCGGAGATATCTGGGAAAAGGGTGTATCAGGCCGTGGGGACGCAGGTGGACAGAGCCTGAAGCAGGATCATGCCTGACATGTTTGAGGACCAGCAAGGAGGCCAAGGTGGCCGAGCAGAGAGTGAGAGAGAGGGCAGTAGGAGGCGAGGTCAGAGGGGCCGATCGGCGGCCATGCAAGGACTCAGCTTTTACTCTGAGTGAAATGGGAGGCCATTGGATGGTTTACTCGGACCGCATAGAATGCTGTTGGCATTTTAAAAGGGTAGTTCTGGCTGCTGTATTAAGAATAGACTGTCACAGGGAAAGGGTGGGAGCAAGGACACCTATCAGGAGACTATTGCAGTAGTCCAGGTAGGAGCAGATGGTGACTGGGACCAGGGCGTAGCCGTGGAGATGGTTGGATTGTGGCTGCGTCGTAAGGCCGAACCAGCAAGAGTTCCTGATGGGTTGGATGTAGAGTGAGAAAGGAGGAGAAGAGTCAGAGTGAGTCTGAGGGTTCAGGCTTGAGCACCTGGAAGGATGGAGGAGTCTGCTGGCTGAGGTGGGGAAGATGGCACGTTTGGGGAAAGACAGGCTCAGCTCTGGCCGTGCCATGGCTGGCTGACGTGCCTACCAGGTGTCTGAGCACAGGTGTCAAGAAGGCAGTTGGGCGTACTGGTCTGGGACCCAAGCAGGAAGTTCAGGCTGCACATAAAGGCTCAGGAGGTGGGAGCGTATGGGTGATATTTAAAGTTGCGAGACTGGGAGAAGTCGCCACGTGAGTGCCGGTGGTAGAGATGAGGTCCACGGATTAGAGGTTGGGGAGCTTGACGAGGAAAAGAGACCCAGGAGGAGCGGCCAGTGAGGTCAGAGGAAAGCCAGGAGTGGCGGGGTCCGGGGCTGGCGGGGCAGGGTGCCTCGAGGGAGAGGGGAGGGCGGCGAGCCTGACCTGGTGAGGGCCAAGGAAGCAGCCAGTGCAGGCAGTGGCCTGGGGCCGTGGGAGACTTACACAGCTGGTTCTGCTGGAGGGGAGGGTACAGCGAGAGGACATGGAGGCGGAGCGCGGGCAGCTCTTTGGAGGAGTTAGATCAGGATTAGAGAAACGGATTGGTAGCCAGAAGGACCTGTCGGGGTAAAAATTTTGTGGTTTCTGTTATTTTTGTTATGCTCATGGGAATGATCCAGTACAAAGGGAAAAATTGATTATTAAAGAGAGGGAGAAATTCACGGTGAGAGGTCCTTGAGAAAGCCCAAGATGGGAGCACAGGCACTGTGAAAACGGTATGGTGGAGGCATCTGACCTCTTCCTCTAGTCACAAGGAGGAAGGAGAATCGAGATCGGCAGCCCAAGGCTGATTCTTACGAGGCGGAAGTTGTATGTATCTCCTCTGTCCGCCATCTTTACCAACTCTGACACCAGCTGTCCCTCGTACGCACTCTCTGCTTCTCTGCTGGGTTTGATAGTTCATTGCAGTGACCACACAGAACTCACAGACAATACTGACGATTATGAGGTTTATTAGGGAAGTAAC